TTAATGTATGTTTGTATTTTAATTATTTATGGATTTTAGCCACTGTTGGAGGGATTGGTGTTTTTTTCTTTTTTGTTACTGTTAGCCACCCAGAGTCACCTGTTGGGGGAGATGGGCGGCATACAGGTTTAATAATAATTAAAAAAAAAAAATTAAATCTAGACAGGGCAGAGGTGCTATTGGTAAGGAGAAAACTGGATGTGGAGATTCAAGGGGAACTTGCTACGTTCCCCCAGAAAGGGCAGATTTGCAATTTGGGAGTGCTCCTTGACTCCACAAATGATACTGGATTTGCAAGTGAGAACACATTTGTGAAGCACAGCTAATGTGCCAAAACCACCCTTCCTGAACTAGTCAAAATTAGCAACTGTTATCCACATCTTGATTACATCCTGGCTTGACTACAACGTGCTTTACGTGGAGCTACCCTTAGAACGTGTCCAGAAATTACAAGGCATACAAAATGCAGCAGTGAGGCTGCTGACTGGCACAAGGTGCAGGGATCACATTAAAATCTACACTGGCGATTAATTACTGAACACACCTTTTAAAAAGCAACTTAGAGTGTGACTTTCTGAGGAGTGCCTTCCCAGTTATGAGTCAGCAGGAGACTCCATGCCAGAAGCTAACTGATCTCATGTGCAAGAGAAGTCCTTCTCTTGCACGGCCCCCAGTATAAAGAATTCACTCTCCAAGAAGTTGAATTTGACCCCAACTCTCCCAATACAGTACGAGTAAAACGGCAAAACCCATCTCTTTCAGCAAATTTTTCATTAGTTGATCTTGTATTTTACCACCGATTTAAATTTTGCCTTGATTTTTAACTATATTGTATTTTTAACTGATATAACCCATTTTAAACATGGCAGGAGATATTAAATTAGCATATTGCTAGCTCCTACTGAACTCACAGCAGCTCACAACACAACATACGTGCAATAATATGGGAGCGATCATCTTAAATTCAGGGTCCCTTTTTGGTTCAATACTACATATAATGTGGAAAAGAGAGAAAGAATCAATCAATCAATCAATCTCAAGCCATTGGCAAAATTGAATGGCGGCTGACCCAGAACAGACCAAAAAGTACTTCTTTACCCAATATCCTCCTTAGTCTGCTTGCAAAATGGATTAGATATGTAATGGACAATAGACCATGTTAGATTTCAATATACGTTTTTCAGATGCAGGTGCAACATGTCTTCGAGTACCATTATCAGATACCGGGAATCAACAACAGGAGGTCACTTTCCTCTTGCTACAACTATGTGCTCCCCACACGTTCTGTTCTAGGAAGACATAAAATGTTCTTGAAATGAATGGTAATCTGTACTTGATTATAAGCCATTTACCTTCCCTGTGGGACTGAAGGGCAAAGGGTATCAGCAATCTCACATTTCCGCCCATCTGCTCACACAAAGTCCATTGCCTTACCGCTATTTTCCAAATCTAATCTCTTCAATGAAATTTCTTGGGACAATCTTTGGTATTGTGTTCATTCCAAGCCTTTTACTTGTGCTTAAAAGAAATGCTATAATTACACAGTAATTAAATTATGCTAAAACCAGAAATAACCATTTCTATAGTTATACAATTTTAACCCAGTTTTCATTGTTAAAAATAAATTCCATGGCCAAGTAGTACTATATAAAAGTAGGACCACCCAGTACAGTAACAGTTTGCACAGCCTCCATTGTTATGGCTTTGATGAACTAAAGTTAAGAAGTTTCTGAACTGCTGAACCAGCTCCCTCATGTACAGCCAGTGATGTGGACAAGCCAACTGATTAGTGCTATTTCGTATCATTTGATGTGACTATCTGCTTTTCACCATGGTTTGGTAAGCCACAATGATGTGGCTCAAAAAATACTGTAATTTATAAATTGTTCGCTTCATAAAAACACAGTAAGCTGAAAGCAAACGAACCACATAATGGTTTATCATTGAATTCTAGAGCTGGAAGAAGCGACTGAAGCCCAACCCCTGCTCCATGGGTGTTTTTCTTCCCTCTGATCCACATGGACGGATTAGCACACTCTTGCCATTTTTAAATACCTCAGCGACCTACAAAACAATTGCTCCAACAACAACCTACAAAACAGCAGATTAACAGGGAATAAGGCAGGCACAACAATCACAAATAGATGCAATACATGTTTTTTACAATATTCTGCATCTATCTCAAAAGTGGAAAGCTTATATGTAATGGCAGGAATCCATTTCTCTCTGAAAAAATATTATCCCCTTAATGACATCAAAGAGACAGCAGCAACAAATCATTTTTGCAACATGACAAATTGGAATTAAGAACTGATTTCACATTCAAGATTTTATTTGTAGTACAAACACATACACCTGTGCCCAGAATGTCCTTCCCAAATAGAACTGACCCATTTTTTAAAAATGACAGGAGAACATTCTTCCACCATTTGACAAAGTGACATTTAAAATAATGGCAAGTGTTTCCAAAAACCTGTCAAAAATCTAACACATGGCTGCTGACGTTTCTGCCAAAGAGATGCTTTCACAGGTCAAACATTTTTCACACAATCAAGTTACTACAAAGAATTAAAAAGATGGCCTTTGAAAAGGTTGATTTGGGAAGGAGGCATTTTGGAAAAAAAACTTTAATGGAGCCATAATCAATAGACTGAAAACACAAAATTATTTTCAGGGCAGGACACTGCCAACATAATTTATTCTTCCCTGATCCTTCCCTGCTAGAGTTTTCAAATATTATTTCTAAAAAAATATGAGCTCATCTTTTGAAAAAATCCTTGCTTGCCAGCTAGTTGGAAGAGAGTAGGAAAATGCATTTCAGATAAAATTCTAGGTGAGGGGTCAAAGTCTATCCTAAACCACCA